TTCTTCCAATTATGCGGCAGATCTTGCCAACAAAGCGTGTTATAGCTGCAGCCCCGAGGTATGGCTAAAAATATAAAGCACCATGTACCGTAGGCCGCAAGTTACCTCCTTGGCAATTCAAGCTTATGTAAAATTTAACTGTCAACCTTTTGTGCTAGGTAACCTCGTTAACAATTTGAAGAGGTGGGCAAACAAATGATTTAAGGAGTTACAGGGTTACTTCCTAAAATTCTGTTCCCCAAGTGTGGGAGGGCATTAACTCTGCATCAGAGACCTAGCAGGAGGGGCCTCTGTGCCTACAGGACAGGCCCAAAGCTTGGCAGTTCCAACATTTTGTTTTCTCTGCGTGGACATGCTCATCTCAGCAGTGGCACCTTGCATTCAATATAAAGTTACAACATAAGGATTGCTTGCGTTTGGTGCCATCAAACGAGCCAAATGATCACTGTAGGTCTGCACCCTTTATTTGGAACATGAAGGTATGGCTTTTCATTGGTCACTTAGCTTCCTTGGCAATATTAACACCTGCAAAAGAATCAAAGTATCTTCCAGCCTGTTAACTGTAAATGCTTAAGTAAACTGGAACCAGGCAGCTCACGCTGCCCTTCCCAGACCAGGTGCAGTCTGGTATCTCAACGGTCTTCAATCTAAAATGGTGAGGGGCTGTGACATTCAGGATGTCCATCTACACCTCCATACAGGATTTTATGTATTACCCCACTTCTGAACCCCATCCTGTTTGTGGACAGTGATGCTACATGGTACCAATAATGAATTTCTAAGAAGCAAGCTGGCTACTAAGGAATTAATTTTCATCCATCTTCCACTAAACCCAACCTGTCCAGGCCCAACCATTTTCCTGTCAGCCCTACCCCAATTCACCCACTACCAAGTCCTGTCCACTGACTTTTCTGAATCCTACTCCTTGGTTTCTCATTCCCATTTTCGTAGTTCTCCCACCGTAGCCCACTCCCTAACTACATTCTCCCTAGAATGCTTATTGCCCACCTAACACTTGCTTAACTTTTCCAAATTGGTAAGTATGTATGCTTGTCCTTCTGCGTGGATCATTTTGCCGTGACTTAAGACCAAGGGGCTTTTGTCTGTTCCCATAATTGTCAAAAAGGTTTACTAAAAGCCGTCCATTTTACTTAATCCACACAATCCTCAATTTTAAAGATGAGAAAATTGGACTAAAGTTACACACAGCTCTTCTGGTTTGGACTGAAATCTCAAACTTTATCTCAATCTCTTAAGACCCTGTATTTATGCATCTTTGGATCCTCAGTGTTTAGTTGGAATCAATTAAACATTAAATACTCTGATCAACTACAACTTGTTTAAACCCATGGTCTCAACTTCCATTTTATAGGTCCTCCAAAAGACACTAAGACCCTGGTGCACTTAACATTCAGATTGCTGGGCCCCATCTCAAGATTTCGGTTATGACTAGAAAAGCGTGGTACAAGATGAGGGAACCAAGGAAGAAAAACTTTATTTTCAGGAATTACAATTGTTTCAATCCTATCATGCTCTCCACTATTTAAAATGTGCCCTATCAAACTGAGTCTTCCCCTTTCGGGGTACCTGGCTGGTTCAGTCAGTAGAGAATGCAAATCGATCTCTGGGTTGGTTACGAGTTCAAGCCCCATATGGAGTGTACAGCTTACTTAATCCCCCACAACAAAAAAAAACCCTGAATCTCCTCGCTTTGAGCCATGCATAACAGTTAAGGGTATATTCTCCCACTTATTTTCAGAGTACACAATGCAAAAACAGGCCTTTCAACTCTAACATACACAAATATGCTATCGACAAATACTCTCACTTTATAAATGTTCAAGGTAGGTAATGGGCCAAGTCCTTTTAAGTGTTGCTATCTCTTGCACACTTTCTGAGGGGGAGTTGGCAAAGGAGCTCAGGCCCTCGTACCCTTACTCCTGCAATCTGTTAGGTGGCTTTCAAATGTACAGATAGAGAAGTAGGAGTGCTAAAGAACTTACACCCACACCAGAAGAGAAAAGCACTTTTAGTATTTAATGAACCTCCCTCCATGTGGCTTCAAGCTACCAGGACACAGGCTCCCCCAACACCCTTAATCTTCTCCTCAGCTCTTCTACTGAAGAATTTGGCCTTCACGATGACAGGCTGTTTGGGAAGCTTTCCCTTTCCCAAAACTTTGTAGTAGCCCTAGAGGAATAGAAAAAAGAGTCTGTAACATACACCACTGCAGATACCAACTCCCTGACAGGTATAAAGAAAGATGTCTGCCAATCTACTCCATCTAGGAACCGGGAGGGCATGTTTCTGATCTGGGCACTACCAGGGGCACAGACTACCCTCGCCAGTGAATCAAGACCAGCAGATTCTCTCTGAGGACTCTAGCACACCAGGACAAGAGATATGTCAGGATGTGACTCTAGCCTCAGGCAAAGCACAAACCCCCTCTCCTATTCAATTACTACCTGATTTTTAAAAAAAGAGAAAACCACATTCCCAGCAATATTCCAAGAAGTCCTGACCATGAAAATTGCTCAAACAGGCTGGGCAAAGGGATTGCAAAATTAACCGAAAGCCCCCTCAGAGTTTAAGACTACCTCCACACCCATGGGAGGTAAAGCTGACACAAAGACCAAACTTCCAAAAGATACAGAAAAATGCTTTGTCATCAGTGTTTTGGGGTGTGACGGGAAATCTCTTCAAATAATGTAGATCCTTAAACATTCAAGAACAAGTACTTGAATGAATGACGGACTGGAAAGATTATCATTCTTCCAATGTTTTGCTTGAATCACAATTGAGCTCAATTTTGGTGAGTTGCCCATGTCCAACTCTTGATTTTGGCTTAGATCACGATCTCATGGTTCGTGGGAATGAGCACTGCATCAGGCTCTGTGCTGACAATGCAGACCCTGCTTGAAATTCTCTGTCCCTCTCTACTTCTGTATGCTAGTAGTCTCTTGCTCTCAAAATAATAAACGTTTTTGTTTTTTTTTTAAGTGGAACAGCCTTGTAGGTAACTGGGTATGGATTCTAGGTAGGAGATCAAGGAGATTAGATTACCGAGAATTCTGAGAGGCAAGGATTATATAAAGGTAACAAATATTCACTCACCGATCGCACCACATCAATGATAGGAGCAGCTCCAGTCTTGTTTTTGGCAGCATTTACCCGTGTCTGCTCACTGACCAAGGTCCACAGTTTATCAAGGTTGACAGTTGGGCAGAAGCTCTGGTTCCTTTTTAAATGGTAATGCCTCATACCAACTTTTCCAAAGTAACCTGGATGGCTGGGAAGAGAAGGCAATCACTTTCATGACCTCACTTCATTTAAGAAGTGATGTTCACCATCCTCATTGTCCATCTCCCTCACTTATAGTGTAAACTGTTCACTGGTGGATTATAGTGACATAGCAGGTAACCCACTCATTGCTGAAATTAAAACAAATCTTTAAAGATGTTCAGGAGTAAAAGACTACCCTTATTTCATGGAACAGGTCACTGAGAAAGTCAGAGGCAGTGCCAAGATTAGAGGTCTTCCAGCTCACTTGACAGCATTTTATGGAAAATCAACACATTCTTAGAATAGAGATTTTCTAAGCAAATTTGGGGGCATAAGTGAATCTGGGTATAGATTAATCTGATGCATGTCACTAACCCGGTGACTGACTATGCCATAAGGGTCACAGCCAGTGAATAAGGTCAGCAATTACTCTTCGAGGACTCTAGCACACTAAGGCAATAGCTGATACCCAAGCGTGACTCTAGCCTCGACAAGTTCTCAGTCCACATCAAATGTTAACTTGGTAAAAGGTAAAAGCCAGCAACCGACAAGGCTTTTGAGTGGCAAGAGCCTTGTTTCCCACTAACTGCAAACTGCGAGTGCAAGTGAACGTGCAAGCCAAGAAGCACTCACTATTTGTCAAAGTTGATCCTGTGGTGATGCATGCCACCAGCATTACCCCGACCCCCTGGGTGCTTCCGGTGCTTCCCTGCAAAAACACGAAGTTACAGTTAACATAGCTTTCACCAGCCTTTCAATCTTCTCCCCAAAACATTTCCCCACACTTCCCCATCTCTACTTATCTTGTTGCCACTCTACAATACCTAAGCATTGCTAATTCTTCAGGACTCCTGGTTAAGCATCTCTATGCAGTGTTCCACCCACAGTGCTGCATACCTTCAATTAATTAAACACTTTGCCCCAGTTTTCATTCATTCCTCCGACTGATGTTAAATTCTCTGAAAATCAAGTACTGTAGAGAATTCTCAGAAAAAAAATCAAGAGCTAACATTCAAATTCCATCCGATTGGCCACAGAAATCTAACCCACTTCTACGCTACCGACTTCCTGGCTAGGCAAGCATCCGGCAGGGAGAGTTCAAAACCGACCAGGATGGGATGCCGGCACTTACCGATACGGCCGTGACCATGGCTCACGTGGCCCCGAAGTTTCCGGGTCTTCCTCAATCTGGATGGCTGTATGGAAAAAGGGGCTTCGTATTAACGCAAAGGGAGGTGGGACGGGGCGAACTTGCCGGTCCGAAAGGGATCTGTAGGCCTGGGAAATTAATAATCTGCTTTGTGACACATTCAAAAGTTGAGATTACGAACTGGCCTGGGGACAAGCGGCCCCATCAGGGCGGCGCCTGAGCTCACCGGCCAGCGTGTCTCAGAGATCCGAACTCCGAGCAGAGCACGCGGCCCCAAGGTCCCGGGCCCCTGCCGGGCACCCTGCACTGAGGCCCGCCAAACGCGGCCTGGGAGACAGGGCCGAAGGGTCAGGGATAGGTGGTTGGGGTGCAACGCGAGTACAGCTCGCGGCCTACACCAGCAACCACGGAGAGGCACGAAAATAAGCACCTACCATGTCCGCGACCCAGAAGAAAGAGGGAGGCCTTTGCGAAATCTCGCGAGGTACTGAAAATGGAGGCGGAGCCAATGAGACTCACTTCCGGCCAGCGAGGACCGGCCTTGGGCGGGGCCTCTTGGGTCTCGCGGATGTCGCGTGACTACAAGGATGGCCTCCGCCTCTTTCGGCTGGGTTTCCTGGCTGTCCCCACGAAATGCCCGTGGCTCTGACGTCTGGGACTCGTGTTGGTCGTAACGTTCCTTCGCTCAGGCTCTGAGGCTGAGAGCTTTCGCAGAATTCGGCGCTTGAGGCGCTGTGTGGTGCACGCGGCCGCGGCGCCTTGGCCCTGGAATCCGCCTTGGCCTCCGTACCTGTCAGACGCCGCAGTTCTGAGTCGTCGGGCGCGCACCGCTCTGTTCTTGTGGTCTGCGCGGCCCTGGCGGTAGTGGTTGCTGTCTTGTCTCCCAGCCTCAGTGAGAATTCGCGAGGCGCTATTTGATCCTCAGTGTGCTTACCTGGTGTCTCGCTCTACTCCCTTTGGAGTCTTTCACTAGACGTCTCCACCACCCACCGGCACCTGCTGACCCACACTCCAGAGAGGCGATCGATCTTCCTCCTTTGCCTTTGTGCTATCATCTGGGCCGCCACAGTTTGAACAATCTGATATACTTCAGGAACCTATATACCTGGTTGCTTTATGGTCCTTTTTATCCAGACTCTAAATAATTTTTCTAACCACCCTATTTTAATTTTCACCTGAACCTACTTGACATGGCCGTGACCCCTCTCCTGGACTAGAGAATCCCTGCTCAATCTCGACCCAATGCAAGTGTCTCTTTTCCTGTGAAACTTCTCAGACCCATTCGGTCATTGTTGCTTACTTTCCCCACTCGTGCCCTCCCACAATCTAGTACATAGCTCTTATATAATTCTTGATCCACATTTGTCTTCCGTACTAGGCCAAATTCCTTAATGGCTCAGGAATATTTTCTTTTATCCGTGTACTCCCAGTTCCTGGCATATAGTACGTGTTCAACAAATTAGTGACCGGATGTAACTACTCTCACTTCCCTGTCTTCACTAAGTGGAAGAGCCATCTCTAAAATCTCAACCAGTGTTCAAAATCCCATTCTTTCAATTACTCTGTGTGTGTAATTATTTATTTTCTCTGCCTTGTTCCTGTCAGCTAAAATGCATTTTAGTGAAAATATCCTAAGTTCTCCCTGAACTGTCTTCTACCTACTACCCTGGCTTTTTCCTTTTCAGTCAAACTCCCCAAAGTGAAGTCTATGAATTCTGTGCATTTCCCATTCATTGTTTAATCCACTGCAATCTAGCCCTCAGCCACACTACTTCAATGAAATTGCTCTTCACACCTCTGCCAGGTTAATCTTCCCAAAACGTAACTTTGATCCTTTCAACTTCTTGATCAAAAAGTTGTATAGCTCCCTATTACCAACAGACTACGGCCCATGTGCCTTTCCAAACCAACCTCAGCTTTTCCTCTTATACCAGCTTTCTACTGTAGCCAAACTTGGTACATCCCTTCTGCCTTTTGGCCTGTGCTGGTGCCATTTCTCATGCCTATAGTGCTCATCTTATTCCTGAACAGATATCCTGAATCTCTCTCAAACTTTAAGGCCAACCTTATATTCTGCTTCTTCCCAGAACACTCCAGTACAGAGTGATAATAGCCAAATACACCTTGCAGTTTACAAATTGCTTCTGCCTGAGAGGTTAACACTACCAGCCCCATTTTATGAACGAGAATGAAGGAATTGAGGCACAGAAGGTTGAGTGACTTATCAGAGGCTACAGAGCTGCCAAGATATAGGGCCCGGGCCTACCTAGCCTTTAGTCTTATCTTTCCAGATCTGCTTTTACCTCAGTGACCACTCCCTCTATGACCTCACAGTATTATGGTGTTCATCACTCCTTCAGTCCTCAATCACATACTGCCTGTGGTCAACAAAAAGAGGGGTCTTGAGAGTCAGGGGCCAAGTCTAAAAAGAGATCACCCTGTACTTGACATTGAAGCTGGCCAGTAAGTACACAGGGATGAACTGAGCTACCTGGAAACTACCCTTGGGAACATGGTCTGTGAATGGAGGTAAGGTGGGCAAAGCTTTAGGAATGAAGGATAACCATCCAGTGTCTTGTGAAGAGGGTCTAGAGTGAGGACAAATACTGTCCAGGGGGTAGAGGTTGGGTTCTGGGTAATGGGTACTGCTTCTGGATAGTTTTGCCAGGTTCTGTGGTTATAGAGGAGCTACATTCTATCCCTTCGGCCATTCATCTGAATGGAAATTCTCCAAGTAGACCAGCACTCTGTGTTCACCGAACATTCTTCTCATTGGTGGTTTGATCACCAAGGTAGAGGGAATGCCCTGGGTGATTGTCTAGATCTAGTTTCTAGCAGGTTCCCTTTCATTCCTAAGGCGATCATATAGCTTTAACATAAGGCTCATGTGTGGTTTGTCACTGTGGGTCAGTTTCCCTAGGGCGACTAGCTCTGAGAGAGCAAGTACCATATCTGCAAAGTGGAGTAGCATCTGGACATTAGGCATTAGGTGACCTGTCCCTCTCCGCCACGCACAAGGAGCATGACCCTGAGACATGACCTCTGAGAGGCCTGCTTCTCTGTGACATCTCTTCTGAAGTAGAGTGTGGCCTTGTGACATCTCATGCGTATGGGCTCCCCCAGAGGGTCAGGGCCTCAGAAAATATCTGTGAAATGAGCAGAAGGGAGAGGTAGCCAGGCAGCAGCCTGGTGAGGTAGGTAAATGCTACCTTTTCGGTACCACACACCTTTCTCCAGGGAACCTTATGAACATACCCCACCCTGAAGAGGGCTCTGGTGGTCCATTTTCTTCCTCTCCTCTCAGGGTTCTTGAGTTCCTTAGCAGTCCTTCAGGTAGCAACAACAGTGTGAATGGATCCAACCTGTCTTCTTGCTTTTCATCTTTAGGTTTGGACATTTGGAAAGATTATGTTGCTTTCGTTTTTCAAGTAGAAGATAGCTAATTTAAGATGGAAAGAGCCAGGGTTTCTTATTTAAAAAAAATTTTTTTAATGTTTATTTTTGAGAGACAGAGTGCAAACAGGGGAGGGACAGAGAGACAGACAGACACAGAATCTGAAGCAGCTCCAGGCTCTGAGTTGTCAGCACAGAGCCCAACGCAAGGGCTCGAACTCACAAGCTGTGAGATCATGACCTGAGCCGAAGTCAGACGCGCAACTGACTGAGCTACCCAGGCACTGTAGGGTTTCTGTTCTTTTTAAGTGAGAGTTCTAGAAAAACTCAGAAATCCTAATGTATTTCAGAAAGGATTTTAAAAATAGCATGTAATAGAAAATCCAGTACAACATTAAAGAAAATCTTTAAAAATGTAAGTATAAACATCTCAAATCATAACACTTTATAATGCTGTTTTTATGTCTGAATATTACCTTTCAGCTCTTATCTACCTGGAGACATAACTATGTACAGAGCGGATGATCATAGCATATAAATCCTTTTGTATTCTGCTTTTCATTTAATACCATGACATTTTTCTGTATCGCTACCCGGCCTTCATGATTATTATTTTTAACATCTTAAGACCAATTTATTTTCAGCATATACTATAATTTACTGTGCCATTTCCTCCTGTATTCTGTGGGGTTTTTTTGGTTTTTTGTTTTGTTTTGTTTTGTCTTTTGGTTGTTGTTTCTATTGTGTTCTTTGCTGTTAGAGACAGTGATGCAATGGACATTTGTGTATATGTGGTTTTTCTTCTTCTATTGAATAGCTTGTCTAGGGTAAATTCCCAGGAGTGAGATTGCTGTATTATAGGATATGAACATTTTTATGATTCATTTTATGCTGTTTCTTTTCCCCAAATGGATTGTACCAATTTATGCACCAGCAGCATGTATAGTTACCACTTTCAGCTATACCAGGCTCAGGGTTTTGTTGTTGTTGTTTGCCTTTATAAGTAGTTTTTGACACATGACAATATGGTATTTAGAGGAAAATCCATAGGACCACAGGGTAAAAATAAAGTAAAAATAATCTAATTGGAAGATTAGGGATTTCCAGGAGTCTTTCCTAACTGTGTTGAATAGATTTTTTAAAAATCTCATTGTACTACATGGAGAATGCATTCCTAGAAGCTTTGTTTGTTGCAAGCTAGAGTGGAAAACCTGACTGCCATTAAACTCAGAATAGCAAAATGTGAAGAGAGGAATTCTAGGATCTTGGAGGACAGTTTATCCAATAGCAAGGAAGAGCTTAAATGTTTGGATTTTAATTTAATTTTAGATGATAAAATCAGCAGAAAGAACATAGAAGTTGGGTTCATTTCCTACACCTATTTTTTAGTTTATTTATCTACTGAGAGAGAGAGAGAGAGAAGAGAGCGCAGGAGAGGGACAGAGAGAGAGAGGGCAGAGAGAGAGAGAGAGAGAGAGAGAGAGAGAATCCCAAGCAGGCTCCACACTGTCAGTGTATAGAGTCTGGTGTGGGGCTTGAAACCAACAACCACTACATCATGACCTGAGCCGAAATCCAGAGTTCTATGCTCAACCAACTGAGCCACCCAGGCACCCTCCACCTCTGTTTCTACTAGCTGAATGGTATTGAACAAACAACATATTGTCTTTGGATCTTAGTTTTCTTATTTGTATCCTGAAAAATACTAAGATTCATTTGTTCATTTTAGAAATATTTATTGAGCATATGCTGTGTTTAGACACTATATGTACGTGCCAGGCAGTGAGGAGCAGGGACAGTGGTAAACAAGAAAGACCAAGTTCTGTCCTAGGAGCATGTCTAAAACAGGCAATAAACAAGTAAACAGATCAAACATATCACGTTCAAACAGTCTAGTATTGAGTGGGTGTTCTCTCATTACCTAGTGTGTCTCTCTCTTCATTTCCCCCTGAACTGAGTCTTGTTTTGATGATCATTTGCTCTGTACTACCCATGCAAACAGTCTTTGAAATACTTACCCCCAGTGTGGCATGGAATGACTTGCTCTTCCATTCCTTGGCAAAGCTACAGAAACCCTCAGATCAGGTTGTGAGGTGTTAAAAGGAGATGATTTGTAAGCAAAGTAAAGTTATATGTGAGATTTTCTGTCCTTCCAGGCTTTCCCATGATGTTTCATTTAGTCCTAGTTTCCTGGTTCCGTGACTTAGAGCAGACATCACAGGCTGATTACTGGTATATTTTGTTTGACTAATGCTGTTTTCATGTTTTTAAATTGTAATTAGTTGCCAACGTTTCAGAGTTTAAGTAAAAATTGGATTTCTGGCATTTTGAAAAACTAAGATTTGGCAACACTGGACCTGCATCCTTTGAGTGGAGCACTTCACTATTTCTATGCCTGCTACCCCTGGCTTAAGTACATTCTGCCACACTCTATCCCTTTTCCTAGGTCAGAGGAGGTAGGAAGGAGAGGGAAGAGCTAAGACATGGTGAAAAGCTGCCGGAGGAAGGGGATAGAAGAGAAGTCATTTGACTGTCCCCCCTTACCCTCAAATCAGAGAGTCTGGTTTGGTTGTGCTCTTAATTTAACCTTTACCCTCATAGAGTTACTTCAGTTGCTCTTCTAAGATAGAAATGAAATATTATTTATATTCTTACCCTGAGCAGTGTCCACTGGTGTTGGAAAGCCATGTCATCTCCTTGAATCCCCAGGGTTGTTATGTATGTATGTTTGTTTATTTTGAGAGAGAGAGTGTGAGCAGGGAAGATAAAGAGAGAAAGGGAGAAAGAGAATCTCAAACAGGCTCTGCAGCATCAGCATAGAGCCCCACACAGGGCAATCTCATGTATGCATGAGATCATGACCTGAGCCCAAATCAAGACTTGGACACTTAACTGACTGAGCCACCCAGGCACCCCCTTTCCCCCAGAGTTGTCATTTAAAGCCCAATGCAGCAGTTCTCAAAGTATAGTCTGTAGACCTATGGCGGGGAGCAGGGGTAGGGTGGGGATGGGGGTTGTCGCTGAGACTCTTTCACAAGTGTCCCCAGGATCACAAGTTTCCACAGAGTCGAAACCATTTTCATGATACTACAGGATGTTATTTGCCTTTTTCACTAGATTGGCACTAGTACTGGTGGTGCCAAAGCAAATGCCAAAGATGATGTGTAAAAAGCCACATGTGCTTTTACATGGTGGATGTGCTGGTAGAAGTCATTGTATTCTTCACTGCTAGGCATTTGCCGGGAAAGGGAAAGGACAGGAAGAGAAGGGAGAATGCCTGTTTCACTTAGGAATGTCCGTGATGAGGCAGGCAATGTTTTGTTAAATTCCAGTCCTTAAATATACATAATTTTAATATTCTTTGTGAAGAAGCTGGAAGCATGCATAAAGCATTTCTACTTATCAAAGTGAGTAACTGCACTTGTGCTATTTCTTCAGTTGCAAGCTGACCTAGCCTTTTTTTTTTGGACACCAGTTTTACTTGAAAGAAGAGCTGACAGACAAACTGGTTATTCAGGCTTGGGAATATGGCACATACATTCTCAAAAATGAAGTAAGCCTGTCATTTCAAGGGGAAAAAAACCTGATGGTATTTGTTGCCAATGATAAAACTAGAGCTTTCAACAAAAATGAGAATTCTGGTAAAGGCGTAGCTGCCTCCGTGAATTTCACATCTTCCTAAGAGAGAATTTTAAAATGAGACTGGAGGTGATGTTTAAGAGTGTGATGTTTTGTTATTGTATACTGAAACATCAGTGTTTGAAGCATCTATAGGGGCGCCTGGGTGGGTCAGTCAGTTAAGTGTCCGACTTCAGCTCAGGTCATGATCTCACAGTTTGTGAGTTCGAGCTCTGTGTTGGGCTCTGTGCTGACAGCTCAGAGCTTGGAGCCTGCTTCGGATTCTGTGTCTCTTCTCTGTGCTCCTCCCCCACTCATGCGCTGTCTCGCGCGCCCGCGCTCTCTCAAAAATAAACATTAAAAATTTTGAAGCAGCTACATAAGTCATTGGACTGATGTTTTCCAAATGACAAAGTCTAAAATGATGCCTAGATAAAATGACAGTTCACAGTGCAAGACAGACCAGTGGATTTTCATGTCACAGGGTAAGAAAAGTTCACTGAGGTAGTTTCAGATTC